GTTGTGGTTCACTCCTTACCGAGTCCTGCATGTGTCCCTGGCCCTGGCTGTTCTTCAGGTAACCACCGCCGGGCGTCGGACCGCCACGAAACTGGCTCATTCCCGCCGCGGTCAGCAGCTGTGAGTTCATGAACTGCGTATTGAAGTTCCCCATCGTGTGCTGAGACTGTGGACCCGGCGGTCCATTCGAACCCGGCGGGCCACCCTGATGGCCGCCGTACATGCCGGCCGCAGTGGCCAGGCCATAGTTCTGGCCGCCACCGCCGGCACCTTGGGGTGGCGGTCCGCCATAGTACTGGGGACCGCTGGGGCCGCCGGGCGCTGAATTCGAGTAGTAGCTGTTCGACTGCAGCTGATGGGCGCCTGGTGGATGTCCGCCCTGGCCCGGATGCGGTCCGGCATAAAGATTCATGTACTGCTGAGCGGCTGCATAGGGTCCCGGTCCCGGTCCGGGTCCGGGCCCGGGTCCTGGACCGCCGCCGCTGCCTGCCGACTTGGAGCCAATGGCGCCAATGGGCTGCTGACTGGGCGGCGGCGGCTTCGCCGAGCCCGAGGACATCATTGAGCTGCTGTTGGAGGATATGATGGCCACAGCGGCGGCATTGGGATTGTTCAGCTGTTGCGAATTAGGCTGCGGCTGGCCAAAGGGACCGCCGCCGAGCCGGAATTGCGACGACAAATTGGAGTACATGTCCGGCGTGGCCGTCGTCGGAGGTGGCGGCATATTGCCGCCATGACCATGCGGCGTCTGCATGGCGTACGCATTGAAGGCGCCGCCGGCGGCCGCCGCCGCTGCAGCGGCCGCATAATGGCCCGGGAAACTGTGCGCAGCGGCGGCAGCTGCTGCCGCTGAGTAGGCGGGCGAGCGGTTCGAATGATCAAGCGAATGGAATGGAGCGTACAGATTGCCCGCCTGCGATGGCGGCGGCGCCAGCTGCGATGAGTTGAACACAACCGCCGGCGGGCTGGGAATCGTTGGAATGCCGCCGACGCCAAACTGCGGCGATGCCTGATAGAACGGCAGCTGTTGCTGTTGCTGCTGTTGTGAGTGTTGCTGCTGTTGCGAGTGTTGCTGCTGCTGCTGCTGCTGTTGGTGGCTGGGCGGAGGCGACATGCCCAGGTTGGCGTGCAACTGCTTGGCCTTCACCTGCTGCTGATGCTGCTGCGAGTGTTGCTGCTGCTGTGGACTTGGGTAATCCTCCTGCTGCTGCTGTTGTTGCTGAAACTGTTGTTCCAGGGAGCCGGCATCGAAGGGCGAGCCGTGACTGCCATAGACTGGTCCCGGCGAGGACAATGCATGGTGGCCATGATGAGCCTGCTGTTGCTGATGATGCTGCGGTTGTTGCTGCTGTTGCTGCTGGTGATGGCTCTGCATGTGCACCGCCGAGACAGCATAGTGGGGCATCTGTTGCTGGTGCTGTTGCTGCTGTGAGGCAGCGACTGCGGCGACAAACGAGGCGGCGATATGGCTGCCGCTGTCATCCACCACAGAGCTCGAGACCTGCTGCTGGCCGTGTTGACCGTGCTGGCCATGCTGCGACTGTTGCTGCTGTGCGTGTTGCTGCTGTGCAACGGCGGCAACAGCTGCTGCTGCCGCTGCTGCTGCGGCTGCCTGCTGTTGTTGCTGTTGCGAATGTTGCTGCTGTTGCGCGTGTTGCTGCTGTTGCGAGTGTTGCTGCTGCTGCTGCTGCTGTTGCTGTTGTTGTTGCTGCTGCTGTTGCTGTTGGTTCGACTGTTGCGTTGCTTCCGACATGGGCGTGGCCGATTCCCAAACCTTTTTCACACTCGCTATCTTCATGTTCAGGTCCGCCGTGGAGTTGTTCTGCTGCTGTTGCTGTTGCTGCTGTTGTTGCTGTTGCTGCTGCTGCTGCTGGTGCTCCAGGCTATCGACCACTTTGAGAGCGGCGGCATCGTCGTTGAAGCTGAATCCCAGTTTCATGTCCTGCTGCTGCTGCTGGTCATCGTCATTGCCGCCGCCAAAGCTCATCTGGGAGAGCGCTGTCGACAAGCTATCAACGGCTGCAGCTGTTGCTCCGCCCAACGTTGGCTGCTGCTGCTTGAGTGGCACAACGGCTGCTGCCTGATGCTGCTGCTGCTGCTTGTACGTCGAGTTCTCAAAGATAATCGTGTTAACTGGCGCATTAGCATCGATCAGAAGACTGCCAGATCCCACCACGCCAACGCCAACGCCGACACCGACACCCACAGCGCTCTTCTCGCCAATGGCGGAAAGCTTGGACTTGTCGCCGATGGGCGCTGTTGCTGCTGCCGTTGGCGGTAAAATTGTTGTGCATTCGCTGCTCTTCTTTTTGCCGGGCACATCGCTGCCTGGGGCAACTAATAGAGGCGGCACGCCTGCAGCAGCAGCGGCGGCGGCAGCGGCAGTTGTGCTCAGTCCTGGCGGCGGCCTGGCTGATGTAGCTGCTGCTGCTGCTGCTGCTCCAGTTACGGGCGCATCCTTGTGTGGCTCCTCCTTGGCCACGGCAGTGTTGGGTATATTAATGTTGCTGATGTTGCTGCTGTTGCTCTGGCTGCTGCTGATGTTGCTCTTGTCCTTGTCGGGCGACGGCTCCTCCTTCTCGTCCTTGCCCTTGTGCAGTCCCGCACTGAGCGCCAGCTGATTCTGCTTGGTCTTGTCTAGGTCCGCAGCAGTTTGTGCATTGCCTGTTTCCGATTCCGAGCTGCGCTGTTTGCCATACTCTTCATAGCCCAGCCGGCCGTAGGCGCGTCCTCCGCTAGCTGGTTGGCGTCGAAAACCGGGAGCTGAGCTACCACTGGAACTGGATAGACCACCGCGACCGCGTCGCGATGGTTCGCCGCGTGGCGAAAAGCCCGCCTTGTTGACAACGGCTCCTCCTCCTCCTCCTGCTGCTGCTGACTGGCCGCCGGCTGTGGATACACCGCCTGAGCCGCTACTGTTGCTGCTCTGCTCTGATCGTGACTGCACTTTGGGACTGTGTCGCGACCCGCCGCCGCCGCCGCCGCCACTGCTACTGTAACAATCCTCGTCAACGTCCTCCGATTGCTCGGACTGCTCACCGCCGCTGCCATAATAGCGACGCCCGCCGCCGCCGCCTCCTGCAGCGCTGCTATTGCGGCTGCTCCAGTCGCTGCTGCTGCGCTGTCCACGATAGCCGCCAGCCGGACCACCGGCTGCACCGCTGGCCGGATAGCTTCTGCCGGCACCACGGGTGTGGATGTCGTCACGACCACGACCACCCCGTGGACTTGGCCGTTTGCCAGCCACTGGCTGCGTTGCGGACGTGACAGTCGAGCATATCGTTGAGTTGCGCGACGCATCCTTTTCGTCATCCTTGGCAGCGGCTGGATATGCCGTCGACATGGTTAGCTCCGTTTCGGCGCACTTGTCGCTCGCCTCACGATCCGCTGTCTTCTCGTCCGACTTGTCAACGGGCTCCACGCTGCGTCTCAGTATCTGTGTGGGCTGAATGGGCTGCATAGAGTCCAGGGGCTGTTTCTGGAGTGCGCCTACTCCGCCGGCTGCAAGCGGCTTCTCCTCACTGAGGCTCGGCTGTCGCGCTGGCCGCTGCAGTATCTTGATCTGCACAGCCGAATCGTGGCTGTGTGTCGATGAAAAGCTTTCCTCGCGATGACGATGATGCTTTTGCTCAGCATCCGTTTGCTCTGCCCAGGAGGAACAACCGCCGCCGCCGCCGCCGTTGTTGCTGCCCATACCGACATCGTCGCCGGAGGAAACGCTCGTCTTGCGATGCGAGTTCTCCGAGATGCTGCGCGACTGCATCAATTGCTGCTGCTGCTGCTGTCCACTGCGATACTCCTGGCCGCGCGCATATCTCGACTGGTCCAGGTCACGCGCACCGGACGCATCCTGCTCCTCTCTGGCGCTATCATGACGATTGCGCCCGTAGCTGCCGCTGCTGCCGACACGCGCATAGCCACCGGAGATGCTACGCACACCGCTACCGCTGCCACCGTTGGAGCCGCTGCCGCCGCCGCCCTTTTGCAGATAACGTGAGCCGCTGCCCTCGAAGGCGCTGCTCGCGGAAGCGCTCTTCTCCAAGCCGCCGCGAGGCAGTTGCTGCTGCTGCTGTTGTTGCTGCTGCTGCTGGCGCTGGAAGCGTGGCGGTAAATTCGATTGGAAATGCGTCATGAAGACGGGCTTCTGTCCGTAATCCCCGGCAGGTGTGCTTGCCGCAAGCGAGGCTGAACTGGCGCCACTTCCACCGCCACCGCCACCGGCGCTGCCCATACTGGAGATGCTGCCACGTGGTCGACGTTGTTGTTGCTGCAATTGCAATTGTTGCTGCTGTCCGGCACCGGCACCGGCAACACCTCCGCCCTCATCCTCACTGACATTGCCCAGTGGCACGGCTGGGATCTCACCAGATGCCGGACTTGTGGCATTGCCCTCGCTAAGCGCCTTCTTGCAGTTCATTTTCATTTCAAGCTCCTGCAGCTTTTTTGCCGCCGCCTGCTTGCGCTCCATCTGGCGACGTTCCTCCTCCTCCTTGCGCTGCTTTACCCGTTCATAGACGCCGGCATCGAGAGCAATGCCGCCGCCACCACCGCCGCCGCTGCTGCCAACGATCACATTGCCGGAACTGCCGCGATGGCCGTTCTGTTGTCGCAGCTCCTGACCCTGATCGGAGGGGCCATCCAAGTCTCGCTCGCTGCTATCCTTGCCACGCTGCCATGAGCTGCTGGTGGACAATTTGCGCTGGTCATTATTATTATTATTGCTGCTGCTGCTGCTGCTGCTAGATTGGATTGACTGCTGCTGCAGCTGCATTTGCTGCTGTTTGTTGTGGCTATTGCTGCTGTTATGGTGCTGATCCTCGGGGCTGGCATGCTCCTCGTCGTCGGAGAATGTTAGTTTCTTGGTGTAGTCAATTTCATCCTGTTTCGTCCAGCTGTCGTCCTTGGCAATCGCATTCAGACGCTCCAGATCCTCCTCGCGTATGATTGGACGCTGCATTTGTGCTACCTCCGGCTCTACGACATAATCCTTGTCCTTGTCCTTGCGACCGCCCGGTCCATTCGCCTGCTGCTGCTGCTGTTGCTGCTGCGGAGGCGTTGTCACCCCACTGCCACCTATCGCCGCTGATGGTGGTGGCGTCGTCGTCGTCGTCGTCGTCGCTGCCGCTGCTAAGCCGGCAACTGGTCGCTTCGGTATTGCGGCCGCAGCACGAAAACTGCCCAGGACGGCCGGCGAGGCGCATCGATTGCCGGCGATGCCATTCTGATAGGGAGCGGGCGCAGACGATGCCAGATCTGCGGCAACGCAAGAGGCGGCATTTGCAAGGGCTGCCGCCATTGTGGGCGCACCTCCTCCCAGACCGGTTGCGGGCAGCGGTGCTCCGCTGCGCATGAATGACGGCATTAGTGAGAGTATGGGCAGTGGTACACTGCCGCCCGGTCCAGCGCCCGCACCGCTGCCGTTGGCCGGTATCTGGTGGCCCTGGCCCTGTGGGTTCAATGCCAATTCCTTGGCGGCCTTTTCCTGTTGCTGCAGCCAAGCGGCCGGATCGGTTTGAGGCCGCAGGCTCATCTCGCTGAGTTCGCCGCCACCGCCGACGTCGTCGCTGCCATCTCTGTAGCTGCCGGGATCCGCATTGGCGCCGCCGCCGCGATGCGAATGGTGTCCGTGTCCGCCATATTGACGCCCATGATGGCCATGATGATCGCGATAATCGCGCTGCTGTTGCTGCTGCTGTTGATAATGATGATTCTGGTGATGATGCGCATGCTGTTGCTGGCCCTGGTAATGCGCCTGCTGATCCTTTGATTTGCCACCGCCACCGGCTCCGCCCGCGTGACCACCAGAGGATGCAGCGCCGCCGCCGCCCATTAGTGTTGGGAACTCGTATTGAAACTGCGGACTTTGATAGTGCGGCACCACCTGCTGCTGCTGTTGCTGCTGGTGCGTCTGGCGGTTGCCATAGTGGCCATGGCCACCGGTGCCGCCTGCACGCTCGTGTCCTGTCGTTATTGCTGACCATGTCTTGGGTGAATTATTTGAATGGCCGCCGCTGCCGCTTGCAGCAACACCACCCGATCCTGCTCCTCCGCCGCCGCCGCCGCTGGCTGAAGCACCTCCGCTTGTTGCCGAGTTATTAATTAATTTCAAATTCTTATTGTTGTTGCTGTTGCTGTGGCTGTTATTGTTGCTGGTACTGTTGTTGTTATTGCTGCTGCTGCTGTTGCTGCTATTGTATTTATTAGCGCTATTGTGCTGGTGTCCAAGAGCTGATACTCCTGCTGCGCTGCCGCCGCTGCTGTGTCCAGTGGCGATGTTGTTGTGGCTGCTGCTGCTGTTTGCACCTGCGCCAGTTGATCCAGGTGCGCCGGTACCCGTTCCGCCCGCACCTCCTGCGCTAGAACTGCCGACGCCGCCGCCGCTGCTGCTGCTGTTGTTGCCTGAAATAACGCGCACAGCACAGCACACGAGAGAGAAACATTTAAAATTGAGTTCACAGGAGGCAATTCAAATCTCAAGTCGCACTCACCTTCGACAGATGCAAGAAGATTGTTGCTGGTGCTGTTGTTGTTGTTGCTTAAGGGCGTTGCACTGTTGCTGCTACTGCTGCTGCTGCTGTTCGTCTCAGCCTTCAGGGATGGCAGATTGGCTGGTGGTCGCCTAGCGGAAGGCACTTTGCCCAATATTTGCATTCCATGTTTACGCGGCACTTGATTCTTTTGGGCTGACGGTTCACTCGATTCGCCCTGCAAAAATATTGAATATACAACGGGTTGCACATGGACGTCGGCCGGAGTGGGTAAGCATGGCAGGAGGGGCCTGCTGGTGCTTTCTACTTACACGGCTATTCTTGTACATGCGATTTATATCCAACGCTGTGAATTTGGGCTTGGCATTTCGCTCTCCCCTACTTCCCCCCAGTGTACTCATGCTGCCAATAGATCCTCATTAGCGTTAGCTTCCTTTGCCGCCTACTGCCGCCGCGCTCCAAGCTAATCGCTCGCTCGATGCGGTTTCTGTTGCAGTTATATGCGGATTTCCGAACTGTTTTGTTGGATTGTGCAAATGTCGAGGAGGTCGAGATCTCTTCTAGGTGCCTCCTTGGCGCCTTGCGTTCTGTTTGTTGTTGCTAGTTTTTCTTTACTTGTGTGTGTTTGCTGTGTTTGTTCTCAGTCTTCTTGTGTGAGCTGTAAAACGACTAAGAGCAAGAGCGAATAAGAGAGAGTCCATTAAAAAAGAGGGTGTGGGTTGGGTGTGGGTGGGTTCGGGGTGTCGTATTGTAAGCTGCTGCTGCTGGATTTGTTTGTTGCAATTTTTGTGTATTGTTTTATTTGTTTTGGTACGTGGGCTGCCGGGTCGCCTTGCACTCGTGCCATGCAGTAAGTGTGTGTGTGTGTGTGTGTGTGTGTGCGTGTGTATGTATGCGCACCTCCATGGGGCCTACCCAACCGCCCCATGCCCATGCCAGCGTGTGAGCAGTAACCGAACATAAAGCAAAGAGCGAGCCAAGCATAGGTAGCCGTTTATGGTCAAATAACATGTGCACAAGCGAGATGGCTATAAGGACCACTCTCTATGAATTGTCTGCTTGCGCTCAAATGTTGGGCGCCCCCGCCTCCGCAACCACGCACAACCCACACACAGAAACAGAACACAAGACACAAGAAGTATGCGGTGGCGTCTTCGTGTAATAAATGAAGAAGAACAATGGCTGACACACAGAAGCCTGGCAGCAGCATTAAGCAGCAAATGAAAAAAAATCATCAACATCAACAACATTGCAAATGCAAACTTTTCAAATGCTGGCAATTTATGAATTGGCCATTTCTTTTGATAATAGGGGGTTTGGCAGGTACAAAATCATAAGGCAATAATGCTTGGTAACAATTTTTAAAAGTGGTGTCTTAACAACAAAAACCATTCACACAAACGCACACACATACACAGTCGCACAGGGAATCTGGCGACACACGCGCACTTTGCTTTGTTATTTCCGTGGTTTATTATATGCCACACACCAGCTTAATTATAAGCTACACACTTTTCGCAGCCTGGCCAAATAAACACGACATTTGCTGCACACTTATTGAGTCTCGAGTCGTCGAAAGGCACAGTAAAATGTGCCGTTTAATAGCGAACACACACACACAGGCACGTTCGCTCACAGTCTACACACACACACACACACATGCACCCTTAAACGAATACGCACTCGCAGAACTGTTTGGATGGTTGAGTGAATTATTGGATTGATTGCATTTTCCGTTGCATTTGCATTTATTCACAATTAACTGCGTTGCCTTTCTATTAGAAATTTGATTTTTTCAATAAACATTTACTTTTATTATAAAATTAGCTGCACTATATCCACCGCGCGAGAAGTTTGCCGCTGCTGCTTCTTCTTGCTGGTGCTACTCTTTTCGCAGTATATTTGGATGTGTGTGTGTGTGTGTGTGTATGTGTGTGCGCGAGTGTGTGTGCCTGGCGGTGGCACAGCGTTGCCACATGCGCTCGATATATCGAACCAGACTTTTAACATAATGTTTTCCTCATGCACGTAATGTTATCGCAACGCAAAATAAATACGTACACATAATTATTAAGCTAATGTGTTAATAAGATATTGCAAACATTGGAAATGCGAATGCAAATCAGAAAACTAATGATAAACCTGCAGTGTCGCCGCCGCCGCCGCCACCACCACCTCTAACGACAATGCAACAGCAGCAATCGTGTGCAGTGCGAGTGAGACAATAAGAGCATGTGGTCTATACAACAGCAATAACAAGAACATCAAACGAGAAAACGTAAATGTATATAGTGCTTACCCTTTTACACTCAGAGCATACACCGCACACACAGTTCGTTGCTCCTTGGCTCCTTTTTTTCTTTCTTTTGTACGTTTTTTGCACTCTTCTACGCTTACTCAGCCGTTTGCAAAAAAAAAATATAACCAAATGTTTTTTGGGTAAGACACGTTTGTGTGTGTCTTTCTTTAATGAAGAGCGCGGTGGCGTATACGATTTATAATTTGTTTGTTATTTTTCGTTTTGGCCAAATCAGATTTCTTTCCCCTGCCGTCGCTATTCAACGGGGCCGCTGTTGTTGGCTGTGTTGCGCTGGCTGCCCGTCTGTCTTTCTGTCTGGCTTCGGCTCTCCTACGTTCTCGCTTGTTAGCGCTCTCTGTCTCTCTACCGTCGTGCTGCGGCTGCTGCTCGGGTCGCTTTTTGCAAGTGTATAGATGAAAAATGTAATCGAAATCCAAGGTGCTGAAACTCGTTTGAATCACTTTTCCTCTTGGATTATTTGAATATAGCACACACACACGCTCAATATTGTTGGCGCTTATAACACTATCTTGTTTAGCATTAACTATATTATTACTTTTGGTGCGTTCTTTTCACGTAATACGTAATTGTTCCATTAGTTTAAATCGTATGTATTTTTTGCACACAGTGCTGCCAGCTTGCGCTTACGGCGTTGCATTCTAGTGATGAGCGATATGTTATTGGGGGAGTACATTCTGTTAAAGTGAGGAGCAAATCTCTTAAGTGGCCATACATGCCTGTTAAGTGTGGAGTAATACTGTTAAATGGGAATAAATATGCAATGTTGGTGTTGCATTTCAAATATGTAGTCAATTATAAGCAGTATGGCAACACCGATATTCTCGGCGCAATCGATTACCCTAACACTAAACACTTTTGTCTATCGAATTTTTTAATTTAAGGCGCTTTCTCGAAGTATTGTCAGAATGAAAATTAGCAGTCAGCATTTTTAATTATTTGTCAGAACGTCAAAGGCATATGTGTAAAAAGAGCACAGTCAACTGAATATAAAAACAACAATACCAAAGATGGGCAAGGATTTTTATAAGACACTTGGTATTAGTCGCAACGCCAGGGACGACGAAATTAAGAAGGCCTACCGCAAACTGGCCCTCAAATACCATCCGGACAAGAACAAGAGCTCCAAGGCGGAGGAGCGTTTCAAGGAAGTGGCCGAGGCCTACGAGGTGCTGTCGGACAAAAAGAAACGCGACATTTATGATCAGTACGGCGAAGATGGCCTCAAGCATGGCATACCCGGCAACCACAACGATCAGAGCGGGACGAGCTTTGCCTACCAGTTCCATGGCGATCCGCGCGCCACATTTGCACAGTTTTTCGGCTCGAGTGATCCGTTCAGCATGTTCTTTGGTGAGAATCTGGAGCAAATCTTTATGACAGACGATAGCAGTCCGCGTGGCCTGTGGAGCGGCATGGGCAATTTTCAGTCACGCCCCGAACAGGATCCCGCCATTGAGCACGAGCTGTACGTGTCCTTGGAGGACATCAACAATGGCTGCAACAAGAAAATGCAAATCTCGCGCATCAAAATGGCCAACGGCCAGCCCCGCAAAGAGGTCAAATTGCTCGATATCGAGATCAAGCCCGGCTGGAAATCGGGCACCAAGATCACATTCCCAAAGGAGGGCGACGAGGCGCCCAATCGCATACCGGCCGACATTGTGTTCATCATACGCGACAAGCCGCATCCCCTATTCCAGCGCGAGGGCAGCGACATTCACTATACGGCACACATAACGCTGAAGCAGGCGCTCTGCGGCGCGACCATACAGGTGCCCCAGCTGCTGGGCAATCCGTTTCCGTACTGTAGCAGCGGTGAGATCATAAAGCCGAATACGCTGAAGCGTTTCAATGATCGCGGACTGCCCTATCCGAAGAATCCGTTGCGTCGCGGCGCGCTATGTGTCAACTTTGAGATCAGCTTTCCGGACACGTTGCCAGCGCGCCTGATCGCGGCGCTGGGCGAGCTGCTGCCCAATTGTTAACACACGCACACGCACACACACACACGTACACACGCAATCACAATTCCAGATAACTCGTTTAATGTAAATTCCTTGTCAAATGGTGCAGTCTGCGGACAAACATAAGAGATGCTAAGCAATATTATAACAACATATAACTAAGGTCCATACTAGGCGTGCGGCTTGAACTGCGGATTGTGGGATCGGGCCATTTTCGCCTTCAGCCATTCGTCCGCGTGCCGCTGCTTGATGTGGACGTACATGTTGGAGCGACTGCGGCACTCTTTGGGGCAATGCGGGCAATTGTATAGCTGCAGGCCGGTGTGTATGGCCATGTGCTCCTCCAGATTGCGCTGCTGCTTGAAGCTCTTCTCGCAGTACGTGCACTGCAGATTTGTGGTCAACTTGTGGGCATATTTAATGTGGGCGCGCAGCGCCGTACGGGAGCTGCACGTTTTCGAGCAGTGCGGGCAGACGGTATCGGTGCTGTCGTGTGTAAATCGATGCAGTCGCAGGCTATGCTCGTTCTTTAGCCAGACACCGCATACGGGGCACTCCATGGCCGGCGCCACAACGCCCTGATGCTCCAGCAAATGCCGTTCGAAGGAGGGCTTAAACTTGAACTTCTTGCCGCATATATCACAGACATGCGGATGCAGATCCTCGTGTATGGACTGTATATGTCGACGCAGTCGATGCACATTCGCAAAGCTGCCAAAAGACAGAGCGAGAGCGAGAGGGAGAGGGAGATAAAGAGGTGCATGCGTTAGAGCGAGCTGGATTATGTGGCATAAAGGACGACGCACCTCTTGTGGCATATGTGGCACTGGTGCTCCAACTGATCCGTGTCGTGCTTAAGTAGATGATTGCCCAGTCGGCGCTCGCTGCTGAAGGTGCGCTCGCACTTGGGACAGGGATACTTGAGCACCTTGCCAATCTGGGCAACCTTGTTGTGGACCGTCTCAATATGGGTGGCCAGATAGTCCTGGGAATTTAGCGACTTGTTGCAAATGGAGCAGCTGCAAGGCGAATTAACTTTTTATTTCGGTTAGCTAAGCGCTGAACGGAATAGGACGTTACGTGAATAGACTGGGATTGATGTGTTTGCGTATGTGATCCATTAGCTTGGATGCGCGATTGAAGACCTTGTTGCAGCACTTGAGATACGCATCGCGCTGATGCACTTCCAGGAAATGCACCTTCAGCTGTGACAGGTACTTAGTACTAAAGTCGCAGAGATCACAGTCGGCGCTCATATAGCTGGCGATGGCCTCTTCGTAGCGTTTGGTCAGCTGCGCACGGGAACAGCCTTTGGGCTTGCGCTCCAGTGCCGCTTGCAGTTCGCTACGCTGAACATCGGTTGGCGCACTGTTTGTTGTTTTCTTTCGTCGCGATCTGCTGCCCGCTCGCTCGCTGTCATCCAACAGCTGATCAAGCTCTTGGGCGAGCGTCAGCGTTCGCTTGTTTCGCCGTGTAACGGTGCGGGCCTGGCGCTTCGGCTTGAGCTTGTGCTGCAGCCTGACCAGCGGCACCTCGTCTGTAAGCCGGCAAGTTGTTAGAATCCTGCTTCGAGATGCTGTTCGAGCACTTACCATCATCATCATCATCATCATCATCATCATCATCTGAGGAAGCGTTCCGCGCGCTGTCGCTGCCGTCGTGCATTGTTGGTTTCTCCTCGACATCCTCGTCGTCGTCTTCGGTAGGGTCGGGAGCCAGCAGCGGCGGTAAATGTTCAGTCTGCGATTGTTTTGGGGCAGTTGTTAGCTGCGGCACCTCCACACTATCCACGTTCACGTCAAGCACACTGCCGAGCAGACTGAGATTGTGTATATCTAGGGGCTTCTCGTCCATCTCATCGGCCACCAGTGGCAGCTCATCAATGTTGACATCCACATCGATGCCCGTCCATTTGAGGGCGACACAGTCGACGTCCACATTAAGGAACTCCTTTTTAAGTGTTCCTTGTTTTTGCTCCACCAGCTGCCAAAAGTTGTTAAAATCCTCCAAGTGCTCACAGCACTCGTGGCAAATGTTTGTCGAGATGTTGTCATCGGGCATTATCTGTAATCCATCAATAAATGCACTCAATTTCTCTAAATAATTGGGGCATAGCGAAAACTTACCTCAAGCTGCAGAAACTTGGCTATCATCTTTAGCAGCGAGGATTCAGCCAGTGTGTCGTTGGTTTCGAACAGGTAGACGGCATTGTTTGCGTTTATGCTTTTTAAACACAAGCGACAGATCATTTTGCGGCGTTTTCAACATAAATTTAAGCAATTCAATTATTATCAATTGTTTGGTTTTGTTTAGCGATGGCCTCTTATTTGATTCATTTACCGATATACTGAAGTTATATTCAATCGATATATAAAAACGATAGACAACCGAAGTTTTCTGATTTTAAAAACTCTAAACTGCTTGTAATAAATGAGCTACGTATGTATAATAATTTACATAATCAGATCACTAACCATGGTCACTTTTGTGCAATTTTTGTATTAACTTATATATTTATGTCTATCGATATGTAACGAGAAATATCGAGTAATATTGCCAGCTAGTTTTTGTACGATTCTGCATTTAAATATATTTGTCGCCGATACCAAGTACCAAAAATCGACGCTACGTTACCGCCGCTAACTTGACGCGCATTTTATTTATATCGATAGGCTAGTGTGACGTCATTTAAGTCTAAACCTGCAATTTAGCATAAGAAAACACCAATACGTGCTGTAAATTAAATGTAAAAAATTTTTGAAAAAATTCAAATTTATAACATATTATTATAAACATAACAACGGATATATTAAAGTTGATTTATGCATTTACTAAGCAATGCAATATTAATGTGAAACCCAAAAGAAGGATAAAGCATATTAACTTAAGCAGTTTTCCCGCTAAAGCTTGTTAACAAAAGTTATGTAGTTATGTATGACGCACGACAGATGCACTAAGTCAAACGATAAGTAAATAACTAATGCGCAACCTTCTAAATGCGTTTAATCATGACCACTGCCTATCGGTTTCGTCCAGTGTGACCGTCTGTATCTTCAGCGAACAGCTGTTTAAAGATTTATCATCGCGTCGCTTACAACAATTAACAATATTGATACCAATTGAATCAAAACAATGGAATCACCCATATCGAATCCTGTGGCAAAGGGTGCGTTTTGTGAAAAAATAAAAACAAAAACAACCCAGGCTAATCGAAAGCTTAGATTTTCAGGTGGCTGGCGTTTCCCGAAGCGGACGCGTACGCAAAAAATCATCAAAACTATTGGACTTCGAGTCGCCCGAGGAAATTGAGAAGCGAACCAAGCGTCCTGGCAGGCAACCAGCCAGATATCCGGGACGAGGCCGACCACCCAATGCACTGCGCGAACGTGAACAGGAACTGGCACTGGCCTACGAAGAAGATGAGGAAGATGATCTGGAGCCCAATCACAGTCTCTCCGATGAAGAGGAAACATCAGCGCACATTGGCGGCGCCGCAATCCTAATGAATTCCGACGATGAGGTGGACACCTTGGTGCAGGATCTGGTTGAGGGCGTTGAGGCGGAGGCCTCCTACACAAACGATTCCCGTGTACGGCAGAGTCTCTACATGCGCGAAAAGTCCAATAAGCGCAAAATCCTCAAGGATAACAAGCTACAGAGAAAGGACAAGGTCAGAGTGCGCTACACGGCCTACAGTCTGTGGGCGCGTGAGGTGCGTAAACGTGATTTTCCGGATCTGGGTGAGCAATCTCAATGCAAGCAAAATTCAAACCTATTCTAATCCCTAACACCCCTTCTGGCCTAGATTTTGCCAATGCGGCCCGACGCTTCAGCGAACTGTGGGCAAACGTTTCGCACAAGGAGAAGAATGCTTGGCGGCGCAAGGCCAAGGTGCTGGCGACAAAGGCTCGCGCCCGCGATAAGAACGCTCCGGCAGATCTGGCCACTGCATTGACGCCTCCAAGGACAATCAATGCTAATTCTGCTGCTGCTGCCGCTGCTGCTGCAAATACGACTGACGCGTGCTTCGTTAATCGGGCTACGACTAGCCGCACCAAGAAATTGGCCGCGGATCGGCGTCAGGTGCCCGAGCAAGAGCTCGGAGCCAACACGGCGACACCGTCCACCTGGGCACAGAGCAGACAGAAACGTAACAGCAACAGTCGCGTTAAGGCGAGCCCCATAGCCGGCAGCCAGGCGGGCACATCCGCTCTGCCCGCCGCCAGACATGGCAATGGAACGCTAGACATGGAACTGAGTGGCAAAGCTGTGACCCAACAGTCGAGCATTGAGGCAATCGACGCGGCTGCCCACCTAAAGCTGCTCGGCGAGAGTCTGACGGTTATTGGGGAACGACTTAAGGAGCATAACGGTCATGTGGCCCTCTCGGGCAGCCTCTCTGTGCTGCTGGACAGTCTACTGTGCTCGATGGGACCGTTGCTCTGTATGACAACGCAAATACCCGGGCTGGAGAATAAGAAACAGCTGAGCACAAATCTGGCAACGACGCTGGACAACATTGCCTATGTTATGCCAGGACTGTAAGCCCAAGGTGACTCGCTTTGCCAGGTGACAAAAAATCTATTTTAGCCCCTTACTAAGTTCCATATTTGAACAGGATATTGTGGGAAAATTATGAATGCGCGGTGTGCATTTGCTCTACGCGCAATTAGCATAGATATCATATTGTATAATATAAATATAAAAAACAATTGTATATTAGGAGAAAAAAACAAAAACAAACGAAAAAGTCAATTATTGAAATCATTAAAATTGGAGGGAAAAGTAAAGTTATCGATAATTAGTATGCATGTACGTTATCGATTGTTGTTGGACATAAACTATCGTTGATCGGCAATAACTGGCATGAATACTTAAAATAGCTTCAAATTGAATTAAACCGTGTTTAATGACGTTCTCAATGTCAATTTATTGTGCTGAGCGATTCATTTAATCATCAAACTCCCCTGTTTATTTGCTGGGTAACCTCAATGAGTGCTGCGCCGCGTACAAATATCAAACAGCTTTAAGAAATGAAATGTAACGTATTCTTGAGGGGATTGGCGTGAAAAGAGATTGACACATAAGTAACGATAGCAATGTTTTCTTTATGTATCTACATGTATAGCTAGCAGGCAATTTATTTGACTGGCTTAAAGGTATTAAGAGCAACTAAATAGCACAGTAAGTGATTAGGTAAAGAAAAGAAAGTAGCGAACGTGAAAGCAGCTAAATTGGCAGCACTGCTGATAATAGCGATGCGTAAGTTGACTGGTTAGGGACTGCAGCTATCGATATAGACTGAATAAAAAATCGATACGAGTGCACTTTGAAAATGGCCATCACTATAGCGATACCATTGCGATAGCGTTTTTCTTTGCTCGGGAATTGCAATTTATTGAGCAGCATCCGCGACCAAACTAAATCCAAGCCTGCGCACGCCCACACACACAGACATACACACGAAATGATGAGACAACAGCCGTCGAGTAAGCGAAAAAAATCGGCAGACATGCAGCTGCCCTGTGCTTGGCAAGATTGCCAAGTAATCTGCGAAGGCGAGTGGCTGCTCAATAGCCACATTGCAGACCATCTAAGGGAGCACCAGCAGGGCAAGCGCAAATGTGTCTGCGTGTGGAACGACTGCATCTTCCAAACGAGCTGTCGCCAAGAGTTCGAACGGCACAGCTACTATCATGGCTACTACATTAATCTGCTGCTCCAGGGCAAGCAGGAGTGTGAGAATCATCCGGAGATACCCGCCTGCTATGCGCCGCCGCGCACTGGCGATAAGCTGCCCGAGCTTAAACAGAACTTTCATTGCGGCTGGAGTGATTGCAATCGTTCGTTTGTCTCCATTGTCGAGTTCCAGGATCACATAGTGCAGCATGCCTCGTTCGAATACGAGATACAAAAGTCACCAGACGACGAGCGCCCCAAGACGCAGTGCAACTGGACGATGTGCAACAAGTTGCTGGAGAACAAATATCGCCTCATCGAGCACATAAGCACACACTCGAACAAGAAGCATGTCGCCTGCTACCACTGCGGCGAGCTGTTCCGCACCAAGACAACGCTGTTCGATCATCTGCGCCGCCAGCCGGACAACAATAGTGAGTAGTCGGGATTTGGAAGTTAAAGATTTAGCATAACAAACTCTCACCCTTGCTGCCTTTCACTTTAGCCCAAAAGTTCCAATGCGCGCAGTGTTTCAAATTCTTTGCCACCGAGAAGCTATTACGCGGCCATGTGGTTCGCCATGTCAATTGCTACAAGTGCAGCATGTGCGACATGACCTGCAGCTCGGCCAGCTCGCTGACGACACACGTCCGATATCGACATTTAAAGGATAAGCCCTACAAGTGCACCGAATGTGATACACGCTGTGTACGCGAATCGGATCTGGCCAAGCATGTCCAGATTGTCCATTCGAAAATGGTGCATCAATGCGATCAACCCGGCTGTCAATACTCTGTGCGCACCTATACCCAAATGCGACGGGTAAGACATTTGTAGTTCTATCAAATTGCCACGTTAATAATCGAATCTGTCTCGCTTTCAGCACTTTCTCGAGGTGCACGGCAACAATCCGATATTCTATGCTTGCCATTGCTGTGAGCGCTTCTTTAAGACGGGCAAATCGCTATCGGTTCATCTAATCAAAAAGCATGGCTTCCGTTTACCCTCGGGCCACAAGCGCTTCTCCTATCGCATAGACGAGAACGGCTTCTATCGGCTGGAGATGACGCGTATCGAGAGCCTCGAGGTAACACAACAGATCCTTGCGCCCCATATCAAGCAGGAGACTGATTTGAACATCGCACTCGAGAGCAGCTGCTACGAGATTGTCAATCCGATTGGCACCGATTTCGAGCGTATTATCGTCTCCAACGATGCCAACGAGGCACATCTGGTCGGCGAGGTGACCATCTCGTTGCCCAGCCTCAACGACGCAGAGTTCTAAATTTAGCCCAAAAACCAAACAAAAACCGATGCACTCGAAAGCCCACAACAATTTTATGTTTATGCGACACACAAACGGCTGTGTTCACAAATGGTGCTGCTCCTTCCACAAATGCACCACCGAGTACTCATAGTCTTAAGCATCCTTCCTTTGCCTTCCGTGCACCATACGTATACGCTTCCATGTGACCGCACATATAACACGATTGCCCACTGTACTCCAGGGGCTGGGGGCATCTGCAGCAGGAACAACTGATTCTCTTTTTCATATAACTATCTATACATATATATATAGCATATGGCATATAGCATATAGCATATTGGCATTTAAGCCTTTTATGTATTGCAAACTTCTAAATCACATTTAATTAGTATTAAGTACAAAAGTTAAGAGTTCGACAAGCATTATTAATAAACCAAACCATGCACATCACAACATGACTAGCAGCAGGCACCTTGCTACTCGACCCGTTGGATATATATTTGTATTCCAACACCAAAGTTGATTCACACAATGTAATAAATTGTAGACGGATATGTTTACTTATCCAACCATAATTGTTAGATAGAGTTCAAGCATCATTTACAAATTCTGTTACAGTAAAAATTTCCAAGCCTGGGTTTGAACCAGTGGAACCTAATGGAAAGCAGCTGGGCTCGCAGCGAAGCACGGCACACATTTTTGTTACGTATATTCAATTCAGATCCGTTTTCTAACAAATTCAGGCAGCTTCTGATACTATATACGATTTTCATAATTAGTTGTACGATTCCCAATCAACTTTAGATGGGTTTAGCCAAGATTAAAGCCCAAACCATCTGGGACAAAAAGACGCATCTCTGAGCAGATTCATCAGAAAAGCTTACAAACTTCAAGTCAGCTATTATAGCCTTATAATCTCCGACCCAATAAAGTATATATATATTCTTGATCAGTATCAACAGCCGAGTCGATATAGCCATGTGCGTCTGTGCGTCAATTTTAGTCTCTCAGTTTAAATGCCATCGTCTTGAAACTTTGCAGAAGTGTCTCTTTCTGTTGCCGGAACCAGCTGGATCGGACCACTATAGCATATAGCTGCCATGGGAACGATCGGTCTTAAAGTAGCAAAACCCTATCAACATCGGACCACTATATCATAATTGTGAATGTCGGGTTTGGTCAAGATATCTTGATATTACCTCATTTTCGGCTGATCGTCCCTATGGAAACTGTATGATAAATTGGACATATGTAATGCCTGCAATAGACAGACGGACCTACCCAAGGTTTTGAGGCGAAAGTTTTATAGACGGACAGGTCCAGATCAACGCGGCATCTGTCATGCATACATTACAATACCCTGTACAAGCGTATATGAGGGTCTGACAGAAATGTACACATTTCATGCTTACATTAAAATACCCTGTACAAGCGTATATGAGGGTCTGACAGAAATGTACATATTTTTCCTGCAAATTGAGAGCTCTGCTCGCGCTCGCAGCGCTCCAGCTAACGGTTCTCCCACAAAGTCAACCGGGAAAAAAGCAACGGTGAAAAAGCTTTTAAGTGAGGTTATGTTGCAGCAAACAAATTAATGTTCGATTTAGTGCACTCGAAAAAAATAAACACATTAAATAAATAAACTACTGCGCAGTGCGGTTATTGTAATAATTTGTTTTTTAATTGTGGCTTCATCGACTATTCAAGTTGTTTCTTTTTTTTTTACACTTGCTTGCGAATGCATTTGAAAGTTGAAAAAAAAAAACACCGCGGCAAAGAAAAAAAAAAACACACACAGTAGTTTCTGTTGTTGTTGAATCTGCTGCTGCTGGTTTCTGTTGTTGGCTGCCAACGTTTTACTTGGCATGAGTCTGAGCCTTCCTCAGCTGAGTGAGAATGTTGGACAGTTCCTCACGCTTCCTCTTGGCACGGATGTGTGTGCCCAAGCGACGCTTCAGGAACTTGAGGGCACGCTTATCCTTGGACACCTTCAGCAATTCCATGGTGCGCTTCTCGTAGGGCGCGTGTCCAACCACCTCACGGACCAGATCGCGGGTGAATTTTGTGTGACGGGTTTGAATCTGAAAAAAAAAGAAAACAATTCCAGAATATGTAAACAAATGTTCTATCGAAATTTTGAATTGTTTTACTCACGTTCTTCAAACGGGAGCCACGCAGACCCTTGACCTTCTTGTCGCCGGTATACTTAACATTCTTGACTTTGGTGGTCTTGTGGCCTCGGTTAAGGCCAATACACAGCTCGTATCGGACTGCCATTGTCACTGAAAATAAACAAAAACAAACAAATATTGTAAATTCTGTATTTAATATGAATCGTTAGCTGTTGACAATCAACAATTGTTCTACATTTAACAATAATCTTTTAACTTGTTATTGCACATATAATTTGCACATACAACACTAGGATGTTTGCAATAATTAAGGAATTTGTACACAACTTATTCTCGGCCGACCTACCTCAGTTGCTGTCAAATGGTAGAAAGAGCGCTGTCAAAGCGAGCAAACAGGAAACCGTATGAGCTTTGACATAAGCGTAGGGTTGCCAGAGTGCACACTTCTGGCCTTATTCATACGTTACGATTTTTTTTTTTTGTAATATAATCAAATGACTCATACAATATCAAGTGTGTGTATATCGTTTGGTCATCTAATCCGGCTGTGTAAAGAACTTTGCAAAAATATATAATACAAAGTGAACGATTAATTTGGCAATAGGTGGCAACGCTGATTCATAAGCTGCGATATCAGGGTTGCTATAAATATATATTGAAAGTATATTTCAAAATAACAAACGTTTTTTATTTAACTATTTTATTTTCAGAATTCTTGACTCTTATTCCGGTTGGCTTATACATAAAAATAATATAAATATCACTTTTATCTGAACCAAATAATTGCTTGACATAGAATAAATAATTTCGGCATTTAAAGTTGACGCTATATTTATCGATTGCCTCGATTGCTACTTAATACAGCACTGTTCACACATGTGTTGTCATTTAGCCCGATTAACTGTATTCATACGCGTATTAGCAATTTGTGCAAACAATTGCATTAGAATACCATATGGTATATTGTAATAAAGTGATTTGTTCGTAAAAATAATACACTTCAAAAAATAGTACACAACTGATCGAAAGTGATTTATTTTTTTTTGTGTTTATCGGCTCGTGTGCACAATGATGGCAACACTGCATACGCCGGCCATGTTATGATATGTAAAAGGTAGACGTAGACACGTGTTTAATTTGTGCTGCTTTAATACACTCCAAATTTGTGTCGATCTAAGTCAAATAAAAAAGTGAAAATAATAAAAACAATATAATTCACCTTAGCTTATTCAAAAGCAATTCAAAATATATTAATTACCCCGCTGGTTTTAAAAGGTAAGCGCAATTTTGAACACGCGGAACATAACCTACTACAAAACATTTGCCAAAACACTCGCAGAGCGCACAGCGTACGTGAAGCAAGAAAAATGGTGTCATATTGCTTGCATGTGCCATGCAAACGTAATTTGTTGTAAAGTGATGCGTAATAATTAAAACAAAACAACGTATTTCTGCCATTTCTTTGATCCTTTTTTTTTTTTTTTTACAAATGTATTTGTGTGTGTGAGAGTGCAAAAAATGCGCAACATAATCAATAGGTGGCAACACCTTGTTGTTGTTTTTGCTGTCGCTAGCTAACACATGCGGCGTACAATTTATACCGCCTGTCAACTTCTCTATGTGTGTGTGTGTGTGTGTGTGCAGTCGTAGTCGCAGGATCAATGTGCTAAACGTCTTGGACCTTATTTCTTTTTATGGTTTTCTTTATGCGATTACACAATGCAAATTTGTAGCCGTCTGCTTGCCGCATGCACATATATATGTACATACATATATATATATATCTATGTTTATGACATTTGTGGTGTGCATATGCATGTACATATGTACATAAGTTTGAAAATTAATGTATGTATGTTAAATTCAGCTTGTGGCTGAGTCATTTTTGATGAAATGATTTTGTTACGCTTTCTATAGAATTTTCTTCAAATTGAAATTGTGTGCGTTTTATTTTGGTTTGTTGTTTGACGGCTTTCACTATGCCATTCAATCAAACGCTTTATTATGCTCCTGATAAGCTAGAAACAAGAGCGCGCCTCACACGCCCCAACACATGCTGTCAGTGTTGCCAGAGGGGGGCGAAAGAAGACAGACGAAATCAAAATATCACACATTTTCACGATTATACAATGCACTAAAAAAAAAAAAAAAAAAAAAAAAACAAAAACAAAAACAAAAAAAAAAAATGCCTTCGCCGCCTTTGTCGCAGAGCATATGATCGCCAACCACGTTGCCAAGATTATAGCGAATGTGTTGTGTCATTGGTGTGTGAGAGGGGGAGGGGAAGTGGGAGGGACTCTTAGGCAAAGTAAAGCAGATCGGTTAAATGTGTGTTGCACCTGGTTTGCCGTTTGTTGTTGTATTTTACTGCGTGCGTGCGCGTGTATTAATAGACAGACAAATTCTCTGTCTCTCTCGCTCACGCACGCTGGCGCCCTTTGAAATAGTGTGTGTGTGTGTATGTGTGTGTATTTTTGATAACGAGTTAAACACAATTCGTAGGCCTTGGATTTCAGCTAAGGCTGGTTCAACGACAATCAAAAAAATAGTTTTGTGCATACATAAATACACGCATACATATCTATTTGATGTTATGGAAATTTTGCTTGAACGTTGCCTGCCCGACGACGGACTGGTCGTAACGTGTATGGCGCCCAGCTATTGCAAGTTCAAAGTCAAGCGGCGAACGTCAAACATGTTTGTTTGCATAGGCCACACGCATATCCACACAGATGATAAACGTTTCAGGGCTTTAACGCTATTCGTGCTTAATAAGTGCCATAAGTGTTGGAAACGTTTATTTTGTTCTGCCACTGCCATTTTGGTAATTTCGTGCATGTGGCAACACTGTGCCGTATTGCATTGTAATGAAAGTGACTGTCATGTCGTTGTTAAATGTGACACTGAAAGCTGTTGATGGACAGCTCTCACAGCTGTGAGAAATGATCTCGTATCGCCTAGGCCCTGATTGGATGACCTTTGCGATTAGGGCTTATCAACGGTGACGAAACAAACTGAACGTACAAATGTATTTGTGTGCGTGTCTTCTAGGTCTAGCCATAAACAACAATACACACACACACACACACAAAAAGACACATACCACGAATCAACAATCACTTACATACATATGTATGAAGCAGGGCAACAGGTTTGCCTAAAACAAAAACATACAGAGCGCAAGAAAGAGAGAGGGAGAGAGGCTCATTGAAACGCTTGGTCGAAGGGCTCTCTCTCTCTCTCTCTCCTGCACACTCTCTCTCTCTGCTGTTTGTCGGTCTGTTCAATTTTTAATCAATTTTTGTTTGAGGCTGTTGACACTGCGTTTGCGCCTCTGGCTGGGTGGGTGGTTGGGTTGGGTTTGGCTTGGGCGTTCGTTCGGTTGCATTGGCAGCAATCGACAAATGGCAAATGTCTCAGAAAGAGCCACTAGAAATAATAAATAGAAAAACGAAGAAACTTACACACGATCCGTTCACTCACGCTGTCTATGCGCACAAAGGCCGGGGGCAGGGGGGATGGGGATGGGCAAATCCACAGAGCAACAATAAAAAAATATTTAAATAAAGAAGAAAAAACATTCAAAGCGCTGCTGGGTAGTTTCCCTTTGTATATCGAGGCGCTATCATCGCACGGCGGAGATACGCATAGAAAACAAGCTCGAAATTGCGCTCGAATCGCTTGGCCCGGCGTCTATATGTATTTGCCGCGTCAATTCAACGAATCTTAAATCTACAATATTACAGCTCAACGAATTAAGCCCCCCAGCCCATCAATAAAACTTTAAACTGCGAACTGCAAAAAATTACAAAAAAAAAAAAAAAAAAAAAAAAAATTATTTTATTTATATATACCAAACGAAAATAACGAAGAATTAATTTGTGTGTGATTTTGTTTTTTCCATTTTCCATTTTGCTTTGGAAAATTCCACAACCACTGTGCACAGTGTGTAACAATCTTAAAGGTGAATTCGGATTTGCTTTGGCTTTCTTTCAGTTTCAAATTGTTATTGCTTAACTTTTGACGGACGCTTTTATTTATTTTCATTATATTAGCAACGTTCGTTTTGTAATGATTTCATAACAATTGCCGTAAGCGTAATGCTTGTTGCTGTTTTTTTTTTTGTTCTTGTTCTTCCCTTGCCGAAAGTTGCTTGCGTTTGTTCTTGTTGTTGTTGTTGTTGTTGCGGCATTTTCCTCACACTTGACACTTGGCGCACGCGCAAATTAGACGAATGCTCGCTCTCGCTCTCTCACACACTTGCTAGCACGATCTGCACGCTGAATGTGTGTGCGCGCGCTCTCTCTCTCTCTCCCTTATTCTCTCTCTCTCGCTCTCGCTCGCATGCTCAGTGGCTTCCGCGTGGCATTCTGTTTCTGCTTTGCACCTTATTTGCTCTGCGCGTCGCTGTCGTTCGAATGATTTTCTATAATTATGTATTGTTGCTATAAATACGCAGTCGCACACACACACACACACACGCACACACACACACACACGCGCACACATACACAAATGTGGATGCCAAATGAGTCTCGTGATGGTCGCGACCCAAACAAATAGACTTTCTGCAGTATTTCTAGTGGGCAAATATAAATATATGCATATGTACATATGTATTTGCCAACTCCCAATGTTGAATAATCTAATAACTAATATTTCCCTTGAAACTCTAATTGCTTTATTTAACCAATATGTACATTCTATATATATCTATAAAACACATGTGTGCCTGTCATTGTAATGGGGTGGGGGGGTTATTTTTTTGTTTACTCTTCATTTGTTTCTATTCTTTTGTGTGCCCTGTCCTTAAACGTTTCGAGCTGTTTAAAGAGCGCTTTTCTCTTTTTCCTTCGCCGTTTTGAAGGTCCAGTTTTTCTCAGCTTCCCACTGTTTTGCGTTCTTCGTTCAAGTTGTTTATTTTGGTTTTTCTCCGTGCGCTTACACATTTGGGCGAGAGCATTTTCTTTCCGATTTTGCATTGAGCAGCATCCTTAAACGTTTTGCATCGTTACGCTATGCTCCGTAGAGATATTAATATTCATCAAAATGATGAATATTCTATGCCTATTACAGATTTTTAATAGATACTTTCTGTTTATTTTGTTTTTCCCACTTGCAGATTCTCCAATATTCAGCGAAAATGGTAT